AACCTAACACCAACAGGATTAAGAGGGTGTTTTTAAACTTCCTATTCTTACTATTCCTTTATGCATCCCTCCTTTCTGAAACTTTAAAACCTGTTTTTGTGTGTTTGATGTCATGACTTACTATCTTTCTCAGGGTTAGTAAATTTTAAAATTCCTCTATCGTTCATGGAAGAAAACTTTTAATTGGCTCCTTAATTTTGAACCTGTGAGCTTTGTTTTAATTGAACTGTGATAGCTGCGTGTTTAATTTGAAAGTCTTTGTATGGCCAACCAAGGGTGTTTAAAAAGAGAAGCACTGATCCACATCTCTTCACCTCGTAATAACATAATTATTGTGTGATTACAGGCTTTTCCCTTTTAGTCATTCTTTTTTCCCTTTCTTTTTAATTTGCTTTCTTTCTCTTCTTTCTTTCTCCAACAGCCGTATTCTCAAGATATAATCTGCTAAACTCTCAATAAATAAAGCAATGTGAAATAAGTAGGCTTCAATTGCACTGTCTGACGTGACCCTTTAGCTTTCATCAATGCAAGTAATCCATACATGATCCTCAGTGCACTGCATGCTCAAGCCCACATTGTATCCCCGCGTATTACACACATTTGTAACATATTATAATTGTGTAAAACTTCCAAGCCTCATCTATTGTGTTTTATAATGGTAGAGATCATTGTCTCAGTTAGATTTTTGTTATATAGAAAACTGCTTTCTCTTTTAGAAGGAATTGCAATTCGGAGTGATTACTAGGCCATCCAAGGAAGGAGATGGTAGTTTTTAATTGAGTAGTGAGGAGTGAAAATGTATATTTAAGACTATGATTGCAACCTAATAAGTAAGACTTCTGCATTATTCTAGTCTGCTCGGAACAGGCCCAAAGCAGGTTTACACTAAGCTCAATGTGCTTTGATAGCTAGATTCAATGCCTTCAAATGATGTGCTACCCATCATTGCATTTCTGATCACATTCATCTCTCCACAGCACAGAACAGGACAGTAAATTGAGTTTAAAGGGAAGAGAAGCCGTTATGAAGGAGGAAATTATTTACACTAACATGAAGCTGACATTTAATAGGTAGAAAGGATAGAGCCTTAAATGGAATGAAATTAAAGATGTAACATTGGCATAGTAGGACATCTGGATCTCTTAATGAATTGTGGTGGGGCCTACACTCTGTATCATGTCCTGAACTACAATGGCCAGACACAAATTATCAGCAGTCTTAAGGAGGTTTTCTGGAATCTAACTGTTTCATGTGACAGTTTGCCATCCTGTTGCAATACTTTGTGGAGAGGAGGTTGAGACCAAATATGTAAAAGAATTCAGATGACCAACCCAGGCATCATTTTGGCAAAACATTCTGTGGCTCTAAGTATGTACTGGACTTGTTTACAATTGTTATCAATTATTTCCAATGTCAGATATTTTGATGCGGTATTATGATGCTGGTGAGAAACATATGTTTCAAATAACTAATTAAACGTCTTTGCAAGCCTTTTGTGTTTTTTTGCTGACCAAGTTTACAGTGATGTTTTATTGTTAGCCAATTCTTGACTACAGAGTCCCCATTCACTGTGCCATAGTATGTGAGGATGGCAGTTCACTGACATGATTAGCACAGTAATGAAGACAATCACAGGTGCACTGTCGTGGGCGTGCAAATTGAGCACGTTTCTTGAATGAGTGTGAAAGGAGCCTCCGAACTAGAGAAGGTCATTCAGCTTCGCAAGCTTACTCCACTATTCAATTGTATCATGGTTGATCTGTATCTTAACTCCAGCTACCTGCCTTGGATTTCATAAAAACACGCAGCCATGCAGGAAAATGGAGGCCAGGAGTTAAAAAAACTGAACAGAGTGGTTCAGATTCTATTTCAAAGGAAAGCAGAGGAAATTGGTGAATTTGGTGAATCTGAAGAATAGTGTTCTGAAGAGGAGTCATATCAGACTCAAAATTAACTTTGTTTCTATCTCCACAGATGCTGCCAGACCTACTGAGTTTCTCCAGCATTCTCGGTGTCTGTTTCAGATTTTCAGCATCCAAAGTATATTGGATTCCAATGCATAGCTGCCTGAGAAAACTGCAGGGCCAGTAACCCATCACCACGTCACCTTTCAATTATGCATGAAAAGTCCTTGACTCTAGTGCTGCCTCCTCAGAGCCAGCTCTCAGAATACCAGAACCTCTGACATGCTCAGTTTTATCGGTCAGCCAGGGGTCCCTGACTGGGACTGTCAATCTTGTCTGATCAGGGAACTCATATTCTATGAGGTCCAGCTGGCTGACCGCATTACAATCACTACACCGCCAGTGCCACTGTTAGCTTGCCTGCAATCATCAATGATGTTTTTAATAAAGTTAACTGGACTGAGCAAATTGGAAAATCTTTGTCCAGGAAAGCTACCCCAGTGTCCATTTCTATTTATTCACTTATGGGATTTGGGCACCGCTGACTCAGCCAGGATTTATTGCCCATCCCTTGTTGCCGTTCAGAAGTTGGTGGAGAGCTGTCCTCTTGAACCACAGCAGTCTATTTGGTGCACGTACACTCCTAATGATATTTGGGAAGGAGTTCCAAGATTTTGACCCAGTGATACTGAAGGAATGGCGATATATTTCCAAGTCAGGGAGGTGAATGGCCTGGATGGAGCTTGCAGGTTGTGGTGTTCTCATATATCTGCTGCCCTTGTCTTTCTAGATGGTAATGCTCATGGGCTTGGAAGGTGCTGCCTAAGGCACCTTGGTGAATTTCTGCGTCTTGTAGATTGTACATGATGCCACAGTTATGTAGCGAGCGATATGGATGTTCTAGGTTTCATAAGATATATCATTGTATTAATTAGGTAAATTGAAATCAAGCTTTTTTTTTTGAAATATCATTGCCTGTTAATTCATATATAATTTTTGTTGGTTCTGATAAGTGTTAAATTAGAAAAACACTGATCTTGAGAAAAGCTATCTTGTTGGTAATTTCTTTACTTGTGGGATCCCTTTTTCGGTTTAAGGCTCCACAGTAGGGATTGTAGCAGTGTGGATTAGTTGGGGCAAACGGTTTATTTCTGTATTGTTACTTATATGTACTTATGAAAACGTACCAATATGGTATTATGTGTTGTAGAAAGCCAGTTCCCCACAGATGCCAAATGACACCAGGCAGTTTTGAGGCATGTTTTCTGCCAGGACTTGAAACTGTGATTAATGAAAGGATACAATGACAACCCAGTCACTTCTGCACAGAAAGAATCATTATGCAGGAGATCTAACCCGACGTGAAAAGTTTTTTTTTTATAAAAGGTTTTTTTTTCCAATTCCCAGTGTCAACCAAACAAATAAAAACACATTAGTCAACAGCACCCCATCTGTCCTGCTTCTTTACACTGATCTTGAGAAAAGCCAGTTGTGATAAGTGATAAGTACCAGCTCTTCTACCATAGCATGAATCCAGTGAATGACTGCTGGATTGAAGTGTGTGACATGCTGTGATAGTGGTTAGACCTTGCACTACACTGTGAATAGGGCTTGGGCTTCATTCAGTTGCTTTTCAGGAGAGAAGTGTCGTGGTAGACCGTATCACGGCAGCATAGGTTTTGATTTGCAGTTACCGTGTGTTTTGATCTAAAGTTTCATATCAAGGGAAATAGCAGAGATAAGACATATTGTAGAGGATTAACTATCTCCGTAGGTGTTTGAAAAAATTAGATTCTGTACATACTACAGTGGAATAGTTGAGTCTGTATATCTCGGAATGCAATAGTGAATTCCATATATAAAGGGAAAATACTAATTACATTTCTGATGAAGTGGTAAAATAAGGCCTCAGGAGGATGTATAATAAATTAAAAGGATCTTCAAGCATTTTGTATTATCATCCATGTATTGGCGATCATGTCATATCTGACTTATCAAAATTATTACATTACTGTTTCCACTTCCCTGCTTTTAAAGATTTATTTTTTCCTTTTGAAGAACTAGAAAATAAAGCTGATGTTTTCTAGTCATCTAGTGCTGTATTCTGCAGTCATCTGTAGCCCAGAATCAACAAAAGATTGAGAACAAAATGTTTTCAGTGTCTGTTTGGGAGAGAATGGTGAGGGGGTCTCCACTCTATGGGAAAAACGTACAAACCTATTGCTGGTTTTTGAACAGTTGTGAAATACACCATACTGAACTCCAGTTTCTGCTCTGCAATAGAGCATGCTGTAGTTTTGGATACAAATTTAATGCTGTCTGTGTTTGGCAAGCAAAGTAACTTTGGGAATAGGTCATTGAACTAGTCATTTGTCCTGAGTTTCTGAGCTTCTGAGTTGTGTGAAGGCCTATCTTATATTCAAAGCAGTAAAGCTAAATCGCATGAAGTTCGAACAATGTGGAAAATCAAAAGTCAGGGGTGATCCTCAACAATCTGTGTGAGATTTTTAGGAACATTTATGTGAGAATTAATGAGGCCATGGACGGTATTATGTTGTTTACTGCTAGTGGCTAATGAGGTGATAGAGCTAGCACCACCATTTTTTCCCTCCTTCTAGTGCGTATATTTGTCCCACATGTTTGCACAGTACATCATAATGGAAACGTCCAAGGTTAGAGGCCTTAATGCTCTGTAATTGGTGCAGAGGAGTGATCCTGGGCATTTTGCCTTCTGTTCCATTTTACCTTATTGTGCCCTTCCATTGGGATCAAAAGCTCATATACTTAAGGAAATTGCAGATTCAACTTTCAGTTTTACCAGCTGTCAATGGAGCACACAAACTCCTGAATTTAGCGTTTTCAAATGAGTGACCGTGTTTATATGAGCACAATTATACCTGAAAGGATCACAATGAACCATCTTAGCAGCACCTGGTTCATTGGTCTGCAAGCAAGGTATTACTGTTTCCTTATTTAAACAGTTAATGTTTTGTTTTCAAGCTCTGGGTTTTGCAGTGGCCTCCATGTTAGTTCTGTGCATGTGGCATTAAAGAGTAAAACAAAACTCATTGCTTTCTTCTACAATTACTAACACAGGCAGAGTTCTCGGAGTTGAATCTGGCGGCGTACGTAAATGGGGGATGTATGGTTGACATGCAGCTGATGCGGAATGGAACTAAAGTCGTCAGGTAGGACAATGGAAACTGTTTTACTTTTGTTCTGAAGGGGATTATAATAAAAGAGCTGTGCATGTTTGCTAATTGTAATAACTGAGGTAGCCTGACTGGTAAGAAGCATCATTTATTATACTAAACCACAGCCACTACTCGTGGCATACATAGGCTAGTTCCCGCCCTGGACAGACAGTTCTGCAGACACATCTCTGGTCTGCTTTATAATATTTTTTTCTGATCAACCTGTCCAGAGATGTCATTATACACCTCAGGAGCACCTCAACCAGCAGGCCTCATGGCACAGAGGCAGGGACATTACCACTACACCACAAGAGGCCAACCTGGGTCTGCTCTTCTTTTCTTTTCTAATCAACTTGTTCAGACTGTCATTACGCACCGGTGGAGCAGATGGAGCTGGAATCCAGACCTCTTAGTCCTGATGTAGTGACGCTACCACTGCACCATATAAGCTCTTTCTGGGTTGGCTTTTTAAAAAATATTTGCTAAGCAAACTGTTCAGAGATGTAATTACACACCTCTAGAGCAAGTGGGGCTCAAACCCAGCCCTACTCGCTCATAAGTAGGGAGACTACCACTTACATCACCGTGACTCTTTGTTTGTTTTTAGCTATTAACTGCCACGAGTAAACTGGGTCTACTCACTTAGTTTTTTTTTTAAAAACGTATCTATTTTCTAAGCAACATTCTTGGAGCTGCTACGACACATCTCTGGAGCAGCTGGGACTGGCTCAGAGGTTGGGACACTACCACTGCGCCAGAAAAATCCTCTGGGTCTGCTTTTGTTTTCATATCCAGTTCTCCTACATACACCAAATCACTGGGATTCTTTTTCTCCCATTTTTTTTCCTATTAACTACCACCAGTAAACACCTGTAAATAAAGTGTCATCACACAGCTTCTTATTAAAGACCATGAAATCAGTTAAAAGGATTGAATGGTTTGCTCTGCATTATTTTGAGAATTGTCCCCTTGATGGGCAAAACTAGACCATGAGAGGCCACAGTAACAAAACTACTAAAATAAATAATATCGGTTTGATGTTTTCTGATGATTTCTTTTTACTTTTGGGGCGATGAAGGTGGGGAATTCTATCATTTCTCAAGCTTGGCTCAAACTAAGCAATTCTTATTGCATTTAATTGATGCAAGCAATAATTATTGACTCAGTTGGCTAATCTTTAGATGTATTCTGGAAACTGTTGTCACTATTTGGCATGTTTTGGGCAGAAACATGAAATGTTTTAACCTGAATTGTGTCAAACCACAGCATGTATTTGTAAATGGTAGTATTGTACATTGTCTAGACCTTTATTACCTAACAAAAAAATTGCCTAATATGTTTTTTTGGTATTGCGGTTCTTTAGGACCAATAATAACCATACTGATGTGAAAGAGTAATGTGGTTTTAAAAAGAAAACAATTTATTTAAAAATGTACAGACATGGTTTGCTGATTCAGAGAGTGTGGTAGGCACATCTTGGATGGATGATTGAGACAGGTTTAGAACAAGAGCATGTTTGAAGACTCCAAATACATGGCTGAGAAAAATGATGGAATGTCTTCTGTGGTTTGCAAAAGCAGAGTATTTGTGTCCACCTCTGTGTGTACGCTTTGCTCTTGCAATACCAGTTTATTTCTTCTACATCAAACATTCTGCTTCTTTTCTCTAAAGGTTTCTCTCTTAACCCCACTGCTTTTTTATCTCTCAATCTTCTTTTAAAATCCTAAGTAGCTTTCTAGCTGACTGTGCTTTTATCCCAGTCTTCCTTTCCTTTTGTTACTCAGTTTTTATTCTGTTTTTGCCCTTGGCTTCTAGAGTGACTTAATATGTGTGAAAAATCAATAGAATTTAAATATTGTATTGCATATTTGTAATTGCTGTAGATAACATTACCAAGATAACATTATCAAGGACAATGAAGCAATAAAATGTAGTGAAAACAAAAAGTTAAGCCCAGAGAAGTGTCATGGAACTAAAAACAAACACAGAAACATATAACAGTAGGTGGATCTTTAGTAACATCATGTAACAGGCAGATGTTGACCCACATTAACTTTGTTATAAAGAATGCATTAGGTTCAATGGTTCAAATTTAGTTTGATCGCTTCCAGCATAATGGACAATACTATTATAGTACACCACGCTGTGAGTTGTTGTGCGCTAAAGAAGGATTCTGTACAATGAGGTACAGAACAACTGAGAAAGTTTTGGCACAGTGAGTTACAGAACACTGGAAAGAACCCTGTATAGTGCAGTGGAAAGGACTCAATATCTGGGAAGGGTCTCTGTCCAGTGAATTGCAAAACACTGGAGAGCAACTGTACAGTGTGTTACAGTGCAAAAGGTAGGACTGTATGCTGTAAGGTGTAGTGCTCTGAGGAACAGCTCATTGCAGTGAGGTGCAATGGACTGGGGAATGGTTCTGTGCAGAAGGTAACAGAGCACTGGGAATGGATTCTGTTTAATTTAAATGGGGGAAATTTATATGGATTCCTTTACAAAACATTTCTGATGAGCACTTTCTGATTTTTTTTCCCACCAACATCCTCTGGGAAAGACAATCCAAAGAGCTGTAGTGAAAACATAGGAAAATTTGCTGTGCTTTGATTCTAATGATTTTCCAGTTGTAATTCAGGGTTGCTTTGGATAGCTCAAATTGTCTGACACAAAGGGAGCAGTTAGGGGATAGTGATCATTGTATCGGAATGTTTAGAATGATTTTGTAAAAGGACATAGAACAATCCAGATAAAGAATAATTAATTGGAGGGGAGCTTCAATGGGGCAAGATCAGAGCTGACCTGGGTAGACTGGGACCCAGGGTTGGCAGGAGAAACTGTAGCTGAACAATGGGCTACCTTCAAATATGTTCAAATGAAGTTGAGGTATATTCCCACAAATGCCCAAGATAGGGCAAACAAATCCAGAGCTCCCCAGCTGAAAAAGCTAAGACATTAAGATAAAGAAGAAAAAGTGTACCTATGACATGTGTCAAGTAGAAAATTCAATTGAGAGCCAAGCTGAATACAGAAGCTTCAGAAAGATGTGAAAAAGCAAAGAAGAGTAGTAGAGAGGGATTATGAGAAAAAACTAGCATCCAACATAAAGGGAAATCCCAAAGTTTTCCATAAACCCATAAGTAGAGTAGTACAGGGTTGATAAAAGCAGGAGTAGGACTGATTAGAGACCAAAAAGGGATTTACACATGCAGGCAGGGCATTGCAGAGGTGTGAAATGTCTTTATCAAGGAGGCAAATGCTGCCCACACTGATGGAGGAGGAAACTAGAAGAGTTTGACCTTGATAAGGAGGAGGTCTAGTTTGTCGGATCACCAGGACCCTATGATACATCAAGGATTTTGAAAGCAGTGAGACTGGAAGTCGCAGAGGCACTAACAGTGATCTTTTATTATTCCCTAGACTCCCAAGGGGTAGTGTCAGAGGACTGGAAAATTGCAAATGTAATACTCTTGTTCAAGAAAGGATGAGCTTGGAACATTGTAAGCTGTAAGGAAGACAGTGCAAAACTGCAAAAGGGCATCGACAAATTGGTGGAGTGGCCTGATATATGTCAAATGAAGTTCAATGTAGAAAGGTGCGAGATGATGCATTTTGGTAGAAACGATGTGAAGATACAAACATTGATTTGGTCAAACATTGAGTATAAAATAAAAGACAATCTTCTAAAGGCTGCGCAGGAGTAGAGAGACCTGGCTGTGTTTTTGTGTAAGGTGGCAGAACAAATAGTGTGAGCATCTAATGAAACATACACCATCATGGGCTTTATTAATCGGTGCATTAAGTAAAGAAGCAATGGGATTAGGCTGAATTTATATGGGAGACCCTTTTTAGATCTCAACTGTAGCATTCTGGGTACAATATATTCGGAAGGATATGAACACATTATTGAGAGTGAGAGAACAGATTTACAAGAAGTGTTCCAGGGATGAGAAACTTCAGTTATCAGGGTAGTTTGAAGAAGTTGAGACTTTTTTTTCTTGAAGAGAAGGCTAAGAGGAGATCTGATAGTTTTCTGTATCTTGAGGGGTCTGGACAGAATAGACAGGCAGAAACTGTTCTGCTTGTAGAACGATTGAGAATGAGAGGGCAATTTGTAAAAGCAGCAAAAGTGATGTAGGAAAAAAGTTTCACACAGCAAGTAGAATCTGAAATTCACTCCCTGGCAATGTGATGGAGGCAGGTTCATTTTAGGCATTCAAGAGGACCTTGTTTCTATGTAAATAATCATCCAATCTTCAGGGTTATAGGGAAAAGACGGGAGAATTGCAGTAGATCTTCGGAGAGGTGGTGCATACACAATGAGGTAAACAGCTTCCTTCTGCACCGTAACAATTCTGTGATTCTAAGCTGATTCATGATCTGCCCGAAAGGAATTGGGAAGAATTTAAAATAGGTACACTGATCACATTTGTACTGTTGCAGTATGGCCTTGAGTGGATCCCATCCACACTTCTCTCTCAACTGTGGTCAGCAGACTTTCGCACTGCAAGGGGCTGATTAACATGCAGAACAAAATATGTGCTGCAGGCAACCTTCCTTGTTTAAAGGCACATTTCCTATAAAGGAGACATTGCTCTAATGAAAAAAAGGATGTTATGTAATCACCTTGGAACCTGGAGTTTTAAGGAAAATGTGGTAGTACACCAGTTCATATTTAATAACTTCTCAATTCGGTTTGAATAATTGGAACTATATGACACCAGTTAATTCGAGGGTCATCCCAGAGCATGTAAAAATAATCTGGGAGAAATTTTAATCCTTAAATATGAGTGGCTTTAGATTGGGTGCAAAGTTAAAATTTAAACACCTGAATCTAAGCTGCCTTGTATCCCACTCATGTCCAGTTTTAGGTGGGAGATGGGATGAGTGACTGACCTACTCCCAGGAGGTGGGCTGTTCGCTGAAAACCTTTAAGGAAGCTGCTTACCTCTGTGTATTTTAACAAGGTTTCTATTTTTAACTGCATATTGCTGGCT